GTGAGAATTTGAGAGAGTGTGAGAGTGAGTGAGAGTGAGAGAGTGAGTGTGAGAGTGTAATAGGGAGAGTGTGAGAGTGTGAGAGAGTGTGAGAGAGAGTGTGAAAGAGGGAGAGTGAGTGTGAGAGAGTGTGAGAGTTAGTCTGAGAGTGAGAGAGTGCGAGAGTGTGAGAGAGTGTGAGTGAGAGTCAGAGAGAGTCAGAGTGTGAGCCAGAGTGAGTGAGAGAGTGTGTGAGAGTGTGAGAGAGAGTGAGAGTGTGAGACAGAGTTAGTGAGAGAGTGTGTGAGAGTGTGTGAGTGAGTGAGAGGGAGAGTGAGTGTGAGAGTGTGTGAGAGAGTGTGTAAGAGTGTGAGAGTGTGTGAGAGTGTAAGAGTGTGAGATTGTGTGTAAGAGTGTAAGTGTGTGTGAGTGTGTAGGAGAGTGCGAGTGTGAGAATGTGAGTGAGAGTGTAAGAGGGAGAGTGAGTGTGAGAGAGTGTGAGAGTGAGTCTGAGAGTGAGAGAGTGGGAGAGTGAGTGAGAGTGAGAGAGTGTGAGAGAGTGTGAGAGTGTAATAGGGAGAGTGTGAGAGTGTATTAGGGAGAGAGAGTGTGTGAGAGTGTGAGAGTGTGTGTGAGAGTGTGAGAGTGGGTGTGAGAGTGTGAGAATGTGAGTGAGAGAGTATGTGAGAGTGTAAGAGGGAGAGGGAGTGTGAGAGAGTGTGAGAGAGTGTGAGAGTGTGTGAGAGTGTGTGAGTGAGAGGGAGAGTGAGTGAGAGTGTGAGAGAGTGTGAGAGTGAGTGAGAGTGAGTGAGAGTGAGAGAGTGTGAGCGAGTGTGAGAGAGAGTGAGACAGAGTGAGTTAGAGCGTGTGAGAGAGTGTGAGAGTGAGTGAGAGAGTGTGTGAGAGTGTGTGAGTGAGTGAGAGGGAGAGTGAGTGTGAGAGTGTGTGTAAGAGTGTGAGAGTGTGAGAGTGTAAGAGTGTGAGAGTGTGTGTAAGAGTGTGAGGGTGTGTGAGAGTGTGTGAGAGTGTGTGGGAGAGTGTGTGTAAGAGTGTGTGAGAGAGTGTGTGTGAGTGTGTGAGAGTGTGAGTGTGAGAATTTGAGAGAGTGTGAGAGTGAGTGAGAGTGAGAGAGTGAGTGTGAGAGTGTAATAGGGAGAGTGTGAGAGTGTGAGAGAGTGTGAGAGAGAGTGTGAAAGAGGGAGAGTGAGTGTGAGAGAGTGTGAGAGTTAGTCTGAGAGTGAGAGAGTGTGAGAGAGTGTGAGAGAGAGTCAGAGAGAGTCAGAGTGTGAGCCAGAGTGAGTGAGAGAGTGTGTGAGAGTGTGAGAGAGAGTGAGAGTGTGAGACAGAGTTAGTGAGAGAGTGTGTGAGAGTGTGTGAGTGAGTGAGAGGGAGAGTGAGTGTGAGAGTGTGTGAGAGAGTGTGTAAGAGTGTGAGAGTGTGTGAGAGTGTAAGAGTGTGAGATTGTGTGTAAGAGTGTAAGTGTGTGTGAGTGTGTAGGAGAGTGCGAGTGTGAGAATGTGAGTGAGAGTGTAAGAGGGAGAGTGAGTGTGAGAGAGTGTGAGAGTGAGTCTGAGAGTGAGAGAGTGGGAGAGTGAGTGAGAGTGAGAGAGTGTGAGAGTGTAATAGGGAGAGTGTGAGAGTGTATTAGGGAGAGAGAGTGTGTGAGAGTGTGAGAGTGTGTGTGAGAGTGTGAGAGTGGGTGTGAGAGTGTGAGAATGTGAGTGAGAGAGTATGTGAGAGTGTAAGAGGGAGAGGGAGTGTGAGAGAGTGTGAGAGAGTGTGAGAGTGTGTGAGAGTGTGTGAGTGGGAGAGTGAGTGAGAGTGTGAGAGAGTGTGAGAGTGAGTGAGAGTGAGTGAGAGTGAGAGAGTGTGAGCGAGTGTGAGAGAGAGTGAGACAGAGTGAGTTAGAGCGTGTGAGAGAGTGTGAGAGAGTGTGAGAGTGTGTGAGTGAGAGGGAGAGTGTGTGAGAGAGTGTGAGGGTGTGTGAGTGTGAGAGTGTGTGAGAGTGTGTGAGTGTGAGAGTGTGTGTGAGAGTGTGAGAGTGGGTGTGAGAGTGTGAGAATGTGAGTGAGAGAGTATGTGAGTGTGTAAGAGGGAGAGGGAGTGTGAGAGAGTGTGAGAGAGTGTGAGAGTGTGTGAGTGAGAGGGAGAGTGAGTGAGAGTGTGAGAGTGAGTGAGAGTGAGTGAGAGAGTGTGAGAGAGTGTGAGAGAGAGTGAGACAGAGTGAGTTAGAGCGTGTGAGAGAGTGTGAGAGAGTGTGAGAGTGAGTGTGAGAGTGAGTGAGAGTATGTGAGTGAGAGGGAGAGTGGGTGAGAGAGTGTGAGAGTGTGTGAGTGTGAGAGTGTGTGTAAGAGTGTGAGAGTGTGTGAGAGTGTGTGAGTGTGAGAGTGTGTGGGAGAGTGTGTGAGTGAGTGTGAAAGAGGGAGAGTGAGTGTGAGAGAGTGTGAGAGTTAGTCTGAGAGTGGGAGAGTGAGAGAGTGCGAGAGTGTGAGAGAGTGTGAAAGAGAGTCAGAGAGAGTCAGAGTGTGAGACAGAGTGAGTGAGAGAGTGTGTGAGAGTGTGAGAGTGTGAGAGAGTGTGAGAGTGAGTGAGAGTGAGTGAGAGTGCGAGAGTGTGAGAGAGTGTGAGAGAGTTTGAGAGAGAGTCAGAGAGAGTCAGAGTGTGAGACAGAGTGAGTGAGAGAGTGTGTGAGAGTGTGTGAGTGAGTGAGAGGGAGAGTGAGTGTGAGAGTGTGTGAGAGAGTGTGTAAGAGTGTGTAGGAGAGTGCGAGTGTGAGAATGTGAGTGAAAGTGTAAGAGGGAGAGTGAGTGTGAGAGAGTGTGAGAGTGAGTCTGAGAGTGAGAGAGTGCGAGGGTGAGTGAGAGTGAGAGAGTGTGAGAGTGTAATAGGGAGAGTGTGAGAATGTATGAGGAAGAGAGAGTGTGTGAGAGAGTGTGAGAGTGTGTGAAAGTGTGTGAGAGAGTGTGTGAGAGTGTGAGAGTGTTTGTGAGAGTGTGAGAGAGAGTGAGAGTGTGAGACAGAGTTAGTGAGAGAGTGTGTGAGAGTGTGTGAGTGAGTGAGAGGGAGAGTGAGTGTGAGAGTGTGTGAGAGTGTAAGAGGGAGAGAGAGTGTGAGAGAGTGTGAGAGAGTGTGTGAAAGTGTGAGAGAGTGTGAGAGAGTGTCTGTGAGAGTGTGTGAGAGAGTGTGTGAGAGTGTGAGAGTGTATGAGAGAGTGTGTGAGAGAGTGTGTGTGGGAGTATGAGAGTGTGAGAGTGTGTGAGAGAGTGTGTGAGAGTGTGAGAGTGTGAGAATGTAAGTGAGAGAGTGTGTGAGAGTGTAAGAGGGAGAGGGAGTGTGAGGGTGTGTGAGAGTGTGAGAGTGTGTGAGAGAGTGTGTTTGAGAGTGTGTAAGATAGTGTGTGAGAGTGTGAGAGTGTGAGTGTGAGAATGTGAGTGAGAGAGTGCGTGAAAGTGTAAGAGGGAGAAGGAGTGTGTGAGAGTGTGAGAGTGTGTGAGAGAGTGTGTGAGAGTGTGAGAGTGTAAGAGGGTGAGAGTGTGAGAGTGTGAGAGTGTGAGAATGTGAGTGAGAGTGTGAGAGTGTAAGAGGGAGAGTGTGTGTGAGAGTGTTAGAGTGTGTGTGAGAGTGTGAGAGTGTTTGAGAGAGTGTGAGAGTGTGTGAGAGTGTAAGGGGGAGAGTGAGTGTGAGAGTGTGTGAGAGAGTGTGAGAGTGTGTGAGAGAGTGTGAGTGTGAGAGTGTGTGAGAGAGTGAGAGTGTGAGAGTGTGTGAGAGAGTGTGAGTGTGAGAGTGTGTGAGAGAGTGTGAGTGTGAGAGTGTGTCGACTCAGCCTCAAATGAGTACCTGGTGCGGTGTGTAAAATCATCGCCACGAGAGAGACAAAGGCGGCCGGGCGTGGTTCTGGCCACCCACCCCCTCGTGTGCCGTGCCGGCCTTCATAGGTGCTCGCTAACACCACTTGCCCCAACAGTCTGCCGAAGGCTATACGGGGGATCTTTGTCTTTGTGTGTGTGAGTGTGTGCCTTAATTAACACGCGCATTCATTTATTCACGTCCCATTCATTAAGGTTTAAGTTTTCGGAACATCCACCACCACAACCACCACTACACAAAGACACAGTTCCCCCTTTTAGCCTTAACAGATTGTTGGGGCAAGTGCTGTTAGCGAGCACCTATGAAGGCCGGCACGGCACACGAGGGGGTGGGTGGCCAGCGATCACGTCCGGCCGCCTTTGTCTCCCCACTAGTGATATTTTGCACGCCACACCAGGTAGTCATTTGAGGCTGAGTCGACCTAGGGGAGGCCCGGGACCGATTCTGATAATCGCCACTGGTGGTGGCCGCGAGGGGGAATTGAACCCGAGTGGCTAACCGCAACACAACCGCTACACACACACTCACACGCACACTCACACCCACACACACGCACACACTCACACGCACACACACACGCACACACTCACACGCACACACACGCACACACTCACACGCACACACACACGCACACGCACACACTCACACGCACGCGCACACACGCACACAAACACACTCACACGCACACATACACTCACCCGTTCACACACAGTCACACGCACGCACACACTCACACGCACACTCAAACACACACCCACACGCACACATACACTCACCCGTTCACACACACGCACAAACATACACACACACACATCCTCGCACTGGCCCAAGAAGACCTTTCGCCCACTCGCAAACACTCACACAGACTCACACACAAAGACAAAGATCCCCGTATAGCCTTCACAGACTGTTGGGGCAAGTGCCACACAAAGATAAAAAAAAATATCCCCCCTATATAGCCTTAACATACTGTAGGGGCAAGTGCTGTGCCACACACGCACACACTCACACACACGCTAACCCATTCGCACACTCACACACACGCACACACGCACACACACTCACACGCACGCTCGCACTGGCACCAAAAAGATCCCTCGGCTGCTTGCAGACACACACACACACGCGCGCGCGCACACACACGCACACACGCACGTGTGCCAGCTGTCACTATAAAACCTCGCGCAGTTCACGGCACGCCCAGGAAAAGGCGAGAGTCGCTCACCTGTGCACGTGCCGCGTGCAGGAGCGTGCACGCACACACACACTCACACACGTGGACACGCACGCACTCTCACGTGGACACGCGCACACTCTCACGTGGACACGCACGCGCACGCTGTCTGGACTTGTCCACTCAAGATTTCAGAAGGCATACACCGTGAGTACCTGTACGCACAAATACCATGCAGCGCGCACACTCAAGCGAATACAAAGGTGCCCCCGCTCAGTCACCTTTGCCAGACTGTTTGGGGCGAGTGCAGATCAGCGAGCACCTCTTAAGGTAGGTGTGGCCATCAACCACAGCCGGGCACCTTTGCCTCTCGCCAAGTGGTGATGTTTGGGCAACACCGCTCCGAGGGACCCGTTTATCAAGGCCGAGTCGAACCGGGGGAGGGCTCACGACCGCTCACAGCTCTCTCGTCACCGATCGCTGAGCGGGAATGGAACAGCGAAGCCGTCTGCGTTGAGTCGGTGAGGCGAGGTGCGCTAATCATTGCGCCACCATCGATGACACAGAAGACAAAGACCCCCCCCCCCCCCGCCAGACTGTTGGGGGCAAGTGCTGTGAGCGAGTGGCACCTGTGAAGGCCGGCACGGCACCAACCTCGGCTGCGCCCGATGCGATGCGTACACACCGCGCCAGGTGGCCATTTGAGGCTGAGTCGACCTAGGAGAGACCCGTGACCGATTCAGATAATCGTCACTGGTGTTGGCTGTTTTAAGCTGAACGTCAGCACCGGGGAGACAAAGGCGGCCGGGCGTGGCGTTGGCCACCCACCCCCTCGTGTGGCGTGCCGGCCTTCATAGGTGCTCGCTAAACAGCACTTGCCCCAACAGTCTGTTAAAGGCCATACGGGGAATCAGTTTGTGAGTGTGTGTGTATGATCTTTGATTGGGTGGGTTAGAATTATATTTAAACTAAAACTATTTGTATTTTACCAGCGAAGATCTATTGAGCTATATAACTATTTTTCGGAAGCGACTTGTCCACAAGTAATGGCTCAACAAAGTGGATTATGTGGACATGTATAGCAGCAAAATACTCTAAACATGTGATGTTCATTCTAAATGTGGAGGGGGAAAACCAGAAAAATCCACGCGACCACAGGGAAAGAGAAAGACACGCAAACTCCAAATATACAGCAGCAGGCGTCAGGGTCGGGATTGAACCCACGTCCTCCTGTATACCAAGCGAGGTAGTTAACATCTCATAGCCACCGTGATGATGATGAGAGAGAGACACGCAAACTCCAAATATACAGCAGCAGGCGTCAGGGTCGGGATCGAACCCCACGATCTTCTGTATACCAGGCGAGGTAGTTAACATCTCCTAGCCACCGTGATGATGATGAGAGATAGAGACACGCAGACTCCAAATATACAGCAGCAGGCGTCAGGGTCGGGATCGACACCCACGATCTTCTGTATACCAGGCGAGGTAGTTAACATCTCTTAGCTACCGTGGCGGCTGATGCATTGGCAGATGCGCTCTGTCAACTTAATATGAATGCCACGAGAGAGGAAATGTACATTCTGCGGTGCATTGCTTGATGTTAAACAAATACTTTGGTGATCATGTTCACAATCGGAGTATGTATTAACACTGGAGGAATCCGACGAGCTATAAAGCTCTTTCTCACAGATGTCCAGTAGATGGTAACGTTGCTGCTGCTGCTGCTGCTGCTTTAGAGACGGTGCACAAATACAGCCAACAACAATAACAACAACCTCAACACATCGGTGAAGGAAATAACGACAATTGGTGACATTCCGGGCAAGAGCCTTACTTCACAGCATCATCAGAGTTGGAGACTGAACTTTACATCATGAGGACGTATTTACTACTGGAGGAATCCGATGAGCTATTAAGCTCTTTTTCACAGATATCCACTAGAGGCCGCTCTGCCTGTAATGGCAGGGATGCACCGTTACATTGAGCTCGAGGGAGCTATGGCGTCTGTTTTTGGTCTACTCTTCCACCCTGGGACTAACGTCTCGGACAAGCCAACTTTAACTTTCCCCAAAACGCGACGAATAAACGTCCCCGTGTACACGAAGCAGCCCCCCTCCTGCACCTCCATCCCTTCCTCTATCAAATCTTTACCTCTTCTCTATTGCCCATAGACTCAACACTGCCCGTAGACTCAACACTGCCCGTAGACTCAACACTGCCCATAGACTCAACACTGCACCATAGACTCAACACTGCCCATAGACTCAACACTGCCCATAGACTCAATACTGCCCGTAGACTCAACACTGCCCGTAGACTCAACACTGCCTATAGACTCAACATTGCCCATAGACTCAACATTGCCCATAGACTCAACACTGGCCATAGACTCAGCACTGCCAATAGACTCAGCACTGCCCATAGACTCAACACTGCCCATAGACTCAACACTGCCCGTAGACTCAGCACTGCCTATAGACTCAACACTGCCCATAGACTCAACACTGCACCATAGACTCAACACTGCCCATAGACTCAGCACTGCCCATAGACTCAGCACTGCCCATAGACTCAGCACTGCCCATAGACTCAACACTGCCCATAGACTCAACACTGCCCGTAGACTCAACACTGCCTATAGACTCAACATTGCCCGTAGACTCAGCACTGCCCATAGACTCAACACTGCCCATAGACTCAACACTGCCCATAGACTCAACACTGCCCATAGACTCAACACTGCCCATAGACTCGACACTGCACCATAGACTCAGCACTGCCCATAGACTCAGCACTGCCCATAGACTCAGCACTGCCCATAGACTCAGCACTGCCCGTAGACTCAACACTGCCTATAGACTCAACATTGCCCATAGACTCAACATTGCCCATAGACTCAACACTGCCCATAGACTCAGCACTGCCCATAGACTCAACACTGCCCATAGACTCAGCACTGCCAATAGACTCAGCACTGCCCATAGACTCAGCACTGCCCATAGACTCAACACTGCCCATAGACTCAACACTGCCCGTAGACTCAACACTGCCTATAGACTCAACATTGCCCGTAGACTCAGCACTGCCCATAGACTCAGCACTGCCAATAGACTCAGCACTGCCCATAGACTCAACACTGCCCATAGACTCAACACTGCCCGTAGACTCAACACTGCCCATAGACTCAACACTGCACCATAGACTCAACACTGCCCGTAGACTCAGCACTGCCCATAGACTCAACACTGCCCATAGACTCAACACTGCCCATAGACTCAACACTGCCCATAGACTCAGCACTGCCAATAGACTCAGCACTGCCCATAGACTCAGCACTGCCCATAGACTCAGCACTGTCTGTGTATTTTAAGCAGTTCCCCTCCTTAATCTCCTTCCCTTCCTCTCTCTATCCCTCGCCTCTTCTCCATCCCCCATTTCTCTTCGCTCCTCTCGCCCCTCCACTTCTTGCCGTCCCTCCCCTATAGCCCCGTCGTGACCCCAACGTGTCCACTGTTAGGGTCACTCATTCCTCAATCCTTGCACACTGCTCTTGCCATCTAAATCATTCGATTTATGTTACCTCTTCTCAATGTTGTTGTCGATCCCCTTCAACTCAGGTGGCTCATATGAATCAGATGCCGAGCGTGACACGAACCCAGAGGAAGGTGAATTCGCCCTGCGGTAGCGCACAGCATCGCGGTTCGACCCCAGCGGCCGCCCGAGTTAATACTACGTGGGGTGGAAAAATAATAATAATATAATTATAATATTCAATATCACTGCTTCACGCTCTGGGACGTTAGCAAAGATCCAGTAACGTCATTCGCAAGAGTAGGCCGTTATGTGCCGGCGTGAGTTTTCATGTTGTTTGCCAACTTCTAAAAATGACACCGCAAATGACTCGGCTGGGATTGCGCAGCGCAGAGCACGCAGCAGCAATAATCTCCTCCCTCGTCGCGGCAGACTCGCGTCTAATGGGTCACGCTTGCACACGAGACCCGCTCTCTTGAGTTCCCTCTCACCTTGTTGCACAAGACATCAGCTTGAGCCTCGAATTTGAACTCACCTATTCATAGCACTCAACCGTTTACCCACGCATCCACCATCTCACCCAACGTCACGCTCAGCAGCCCACTCTTGCTAAATTGGGGCCGGTTAATGCTTTCAATAAATAAATGTGCCGGTTAAGGAATCGAACCCCGGGTTTGCCGGGACCGTTAGTGCCGCGTGATGATGGAAAACAGTCATGCAAGCTGAAGGAGGAGGAGGAGGAGGTGGGAGGTGGGAGGTGGGAGGAAGGAAGCGATCCGTCGGGGAATGCGCCGGGAGGGCGCGGATTTCTCCACTCTGGATCAGCCGTCGTGCGAGGGGAGGGGTGGGGTGGGGAATAAGAAATCCGCGGAAGGCACACGAACAGCATCCGCGGATTTTTCGAGATCTCATCAAGGGGCCTCTGTTCCGCACACTTTACTTTACCACTGCCCACTCGGCCACAAGGAGTGGTGAGATGTTAACTACCTCGCCAGGTCTACAGGAGGTCGTGGGTTCGATCCCAACCCTGAAGCCTGCTGTATATGTGGAGTCTGCGTGTGTCTCTCTCTCATCATCATCATCACGGTGGCTATGAGATGTTAACTACCTCGCTAGGTCTACAGGAGGTCGTGGGTTCGATCCCGACCCTGACGCCTGCTGCTGTATATTTGGAGTCTGCGTGTCTCTCTCTCTCTCTCATCATCATCATCACGGTGGCTAGGAGATGTTAACTACCTCGCCTGGTATACAGGAGGTCGTGGGTTTGATCCCGACCCTGACGCCTGCTGTATATTTGGAGTTTCCGTGTCTCTCTCTCTCTCATCACAATCATCACGGTGGCTAGGAGATGTTAGCTACCTCGCCTGGTATACAAAAGGTCGTGGGTTCCATCCCGACCCTGACGCCTGCTGCTGTATATTTGAATTTATTGCGTGTCTCTCTCTCCCCCATAGTCGCGTGGATTTTTCTCCAGGTCCTCCGGTTTTTTTCCCTGCACATTTAGAAACAAGCGTTTAGAGCATTTGACTGTTCTCAATTTCCACACGATTAGCCACTTCGTTGAGCTATCATTTGTGATAGCCAGGTGGGCCCTACCTGCTAGAAAAAGATATAGTTTCGTGTCGAGTAATGTTCGTCGCTTGAAAGTCAAACGGACATATATATATAAATAC